TCTATTCGTCTGTCATTCATTTGTCTCTATATTTTCAATACTAAATTTTAAATCTCACCAAGTTTTATACGGTAAATAATAGTTCAGACACTGAAAAAAAATTGTTAATTAACTAATGCCTATAAATTATTAATACACCGGCAAACCGGCTGCTTTGTGAAAATTCGTTCATTTCATGCTACTGTTAGTCTACGCTGTGCTTGGCAGACGGTAAAAAATTGATTTCAGTTAACCATTTTTTTTTTGTTAAATGAATTCATGTTCTAGCCAGAACACCATGTATCCGTCTGCCAATTACCTTTTTGCGGGTTGCGTAACCTAGCCCCCCGTTTGCATGAATGGCAGACGGTAAAAGCTTCTTTTTCGCAAACTAGAGTTGAGGTATAAGCATGTGTTACATGAGTAAAAAATTCGTTTAATGCATAATAGTGTTGGTTGTAGCTGTAAATATGTTCCCTGAAAAAGGCAGACGGTAAAAAACGGGGTCAAAATTTCTGTCACGGGCTCCCGGTCTAATAGTATTCATAATTGAAATTTAAATGAGTATGGGTACATTCAAGATCATTAAGTCAGTAGTTTTCATCAATCAGTTACATTGTTAGTATGTTTTCAGAACATAACAGAAAATTGTGCAACGTCAATTGCTTGTTATATAAGTTGATTGATTGATACGAGGTTTTCACAAATGATATTTATGTCAAACTTAAAATGAAAGATGAACATATTTATATAGTTATAAAATCAAAACAGTCGATATCCATCTGTGGTTTTTGACCAGTCAACCAATGGAAATATTTTTAGAAGTTTTCGTAAATATATGAGCTCATCGATAACGTCGTCTGGCTTAGGTAATTCAGAACAGCGAATGATTAGTTATCAGAATGCTTCAAAATGAAAGATTAACGAGTAACGCACTTTATTGATCTAAATACATAATAATAGAAAAATACATTTTCTTGTCTAGTACAATAATCTTCTCTCAGTCACTTCTGGAATGAATATTTGTAAGCCATAAATGAGATTCGGAGATTTTCCTCTGATAAACATCTGCTGTCAAACAATGATGATGAAATCTTATACAAATGTTTAGCTTATGAGCCTAATAACTAAATTGAAAAAAATATTAACTTTTCATTTTTTATGAAGATAAAATCATTAGCTTTTTGCTAATGATACAAGACTCTAATAAACACTTCTGAGTGTTGCTGGTTAGAAAACAGCTGATACGTTTTTTTAACAAAACACAAGCACAACAGGAAAATTCTTAAGGTGTTCTCAGATCGGTGCCTGTGCGAAAGTAGTGATTCACATTGGATTTGAATCGCTGAAGATTAAATCAATTTGAAAAATAGTTCTCAGGAAGTTTATTCCACATTAACGTAGTTCTCCAGATGAAAGGATTTTTAAACATTGAAGTTCGAGGTGTACTGAGTTGAACCTCAAAACGATGAGCAGCCACTGTCCGTCGCGTATTTCTGATATGTACCGCTCTTGGTGGAATCAAATGTGCCAAGTCACTTGAACACTTCCCGTGAAAGTATCTATAGAAGAGAGAAAAATCTCCAACCTTTCTTCGATATTCCAGGCTATCAAAGTTGTACGTGATGGCATCCAGCAACTTCAGGGTATGTTTGGGGGCAGAGCTCCATACATGAGAACAATACTCTAAAGAAGGTCTGATCTGAGCTCTATAAAGCATTAAGAGTTGCTTCAGTTTACTGATTCGGAACAATTTGCCAAACTTTTAAGAAGCAGCCTTTGCAATTCCAGCGACATAAATGTGCCAACTTTTCGCAACTCTAGAATATGAAGTCAATATCTTCACGTACTGCAAAATGGCGGAACATTTAATGATAGTCCTGAAGACAAACACATTAATATCGATATTTCTAGAAATATTTCTTTTTATATGCCATATGGCAATTTCAGCAACCCGATAAGGTTTGTTGAGTTATTTTTGGATTATAAAAACGACAAAAAATATCAGTACGACAATGAATATCATTGTTCAGTTAGAACATTCTCATTTAGTTTTCGGTTTTCCCAATATTCAGAAAAAATTAACGTTTGGGCGGGAATATTGGGAAATCATATTGTAGGACCTCTATGTATTGATAAAAATTCAAAAAGGGAACTATATTTGAATATGCTGGAAACTACTGTTGACCCTCTCATCAATGAAATCGTCGAAGCGAATCCTAATGAATTCGATATGGATATTGTATTCCAACAAGATGGAACACCACCACATTACTCCAGACAAGTGAGAAACTATTTAGTTAATACTTTTCCCGGTCGTTGGATTGGCCGTCGGGGTCCTACAGACTAGCCAGCCCGCTTGCCAGATTTGATACCTTCGGACTTTTTTTATGGGGCTATTTGAAGCGAAAGCTGTACGGAACTGAACCTGCTTGAATATTGGATATACGGCAGAGAATAATAAATATTTGTAGAGATATTGACGTTACTGTGTTCGAGAATGTTTGGCGTGAAATATCGGATAGGCTGTTCATATGTCAAAAAGTTTAAGGCAACCATTTCGAGCTCTTATGAACCAGTCGCAGTTTTGTAAACTGATATCAAATCTCACAATGAAGTCTCCTTCAATATGTACATCAAAGTTTTTTCATCTTACACAAAAATTCAGTACGATGAATCAAATAGTATTGGATAGCATTTGTATCAAATTTACATAGATTTTTTATTCTCAACAACACTTTTCATCCATCAATTATCATATCTACAGGTGAGTAAATTGATTTATGTTCACAGACGAATTCTAATCCATCCAAATGAGTTCGGTTAAAACTTATTGATAGATCTGCGTAGCTTTCAGTTGCGAAATTGAGAAGATTATTTTGTGAGGCAGATAAGATTTGCAATTACTCGCAGGTGATTCAACTCAAAAATTTCAATAATTACTAACATTTCAGATCAGAAAAGCTCACAAACTTGCTTTATTTATTATAAGTATGTTGAAAGTTTATCGTCAATTTTTTTGGCTTTCTCATCCGAGTATTGATTTTTTACTGATTTTACCTGTAATTTTATTGTACTTTCAATACGTACCAAAAGTTCAAAATGAAGTTGTTTGTTCATACATAATTGGAAAAATTATTTGGTAGTAGTTAGTAGTTACAGAGCAACATCTTGATTTAAGAATCGGTAGTTTGATTAAGAAATGCCAAAATGTTCAAGAAACCACATTTGCATTGATATACCGATAAAACTGCAAACTATTTCTATCGAAAAAATAACAAAATGTAAATTGAATACGATGGAAGAATAAAATGTTTACACTTTCACATGGAAAAATCGTTAGAACTAATTTGAACACACATCCATTTTCTTCACATTTCGCGTCACTCTTCTCTAATTTTTCTGTTGTGAAAGCAATCGGAGAAATAGAATTGAATGACATGTTTCAACAAAAAAATCAGCAGAAACTATTCAGATGGATGTTCTACACTAGAGTTTGTATATAATGTATATAATGCAAATGCATTTTTGATATAAAATTCATTCGAAAAATTGAATTATGATTTTTCTCAATGTTAAGTGTGATTTCAATCGCATGCATAATGCAAATAGATTTATTACTAGCCTCAATTACGAAGTACCTATCAAAATTTCCTCCTTAAAAAACCACACAGATAATGCGTGGTATTTTGAAAGATGGATGCCTTTTCCATCGATGGTTGCAAATTCGTAACTCCCAGAATATTGTAGTGAAAAATAATAAAACATTCTCGTTCGAATATACATAAGTAATTCGATTGGTTTTGAATTACATAATTTTGAAGTATGTTTTTGAAAAGATTTTTGTGAAATCCCTCCATTTTTTATGGGAAATTGAAATTAATCATAGAAGAGAAAAACTCAATTGTTTTCAAAAAGAATCATGTGTTTGTGAGAAATTAGAAAAAAGATTCATTTAATTTATTATACTGAGTTGTACTCACTACTACCGTTCCGTCACAAATTAGTAGATAAATTTAAATAATGTCATTAATCACTTTCAAATGAAAAAATGGTGTTTTTCCTATTATGGAGTGATAACAATTCAGCAAAGGCTAAAAAATATTCAGTTATCTACAAAACATCTACTGTGAAGATTCTTGCACTGACGCCTGTCGGATATAATCCAACGCCCTTCGTGGTATAAGCCAGGGGAGCAGTTGTTTTCTGATTGGCGTCAGTCCATTCAACCTACTGTGTAGATATATCCGAGACTGGCTTGAACGTTTAAAGTTAATTTCTTTAGATTTGTTTAGTGCCAGTCTTCAAGCATAGCCCACTGAATAATAAGAAAATAAACCGTTTTACTTTTGGCAATTTTCAAAAACTCCTCATATTCACCCACTGCATATTTTTTGCCTACATTTGGTACATTTCGAATCAATTCATTAAATATGACTTGACATTTACTGAACGGACAAATAGAGAACTTTCACCACTAATGAATATTTGTTATCACAGCTTTTTAACTTTATATGTGCTCTCACCCAAGATGCACATTCGTTAGAGGACGGTGAAAGCGAGAGATAATTCTCGAGTCTCTTTCTAGATTTGACAAGATGTTTGAGATGTATGAAAACATGATATTATGATTATTCGACATGAATATTGAAGAGACGTGTTTTAAATAAGACTTTGCACAATATCTGAAAACATATGACAGTCTAAATAAAAAAAAAATCAGGATGTTATTGAAACAATTTTGAAAAAAATTACAGTAACTATAATGTAACCTTTTTGTCAACACCATATGATTGATTTCATCAAATCTTGTTGAAATTTGTCAAAACTGTATCTTTTCAAACCCTGTTATGACAGTATCATTCACAATAGATATGGTTTAGTAAAGATACTTGGAATGATCACTGGTGTTAGCGGTTCCTACCGTACGGTTTCCACCATTGATTTATCTTTCCCCACCTGTTTCCTTTTCAACAATTAAATTTATTCAACTGATATTAACAAAAAATCTTATAAAAATGTAGTTTCACCTAAAATCCTCACAGTTCTCGTCAGTGCACAAAGAAAGTTCGAAGACAGGCCCAAAGTTTGAGAAAAATTCTCGACTCAACGGCCAATAGCCACAATGGAGTTTCTTATCGGTGGACTAGCAGCTACGAGTGCGGGTTTTTTCACAAATCCTTTGGAAGTTGTCAAACATCACATGGAAATCAGCAAAAAAAGTCAATTTACAAAAAAATATACGAACTTTTTGCACGCTGGGTACCATGTAGCTAGACAAGATGGTTTGAAGAGTCTTCAGAAGGGACTGTCGCCTGCCCTTGGGGCATATCTTGTCAGTTACGGAATGAAATTAGGTAAGAAAAAAAATCCAAATATAAGCCATTATTTTTAAAAATTTCAAGCTTTTTTTTAAATATCCAAAACTAAAAGGTAGATATTTTTCTTTATTTTTCCAAACATATATTGAAACATTAAACGAAAAAGCATATGTTGAAACAAATTTAAGTAAAAAAAATGTGATCCTTGTGAAAGGCTCAAAAAATTAAAAAAATTTCATTAACATCAACACAATTGAAAATGATGTATGTATGTAGGTGGAATATGTTGAGCGTTGAATAATGAGAAAGATTTATTTTTATTTTTCGGATTCTAAACACTATTTTGGTTTTTCATTTTCAAAGGTCCCTATTAGATAATAAAATGTAGATGCAATCATGACATATGGTTTATTGAAATCTATAAATATTCGTTTCTAGCAAATTTACTTGAAAATGATCAACTGTTAATAAAACAATGTAATAAATCGTGACAATTCTTCATTTCGGCGATCAGAAACTGCTCGCTGTTTAAAAAAAAGTTGTTAAATGAAAATTTGAAAATTCCTGAAATGGAAACAATTTCTATTTACTCAAAAATACACAAATAAAATAAGTTGCTTGGAAAATCTACGAGAATTAAAATCTGTGAAAGTTACTTTCCAGTAAACGACCAAATTGGTTGTCAATATTTCGTAATATTTTATCTTTGTAGCTTTCTTAGTAAGATGTATATTTTTCAAGTTCATCATCCGCAATGATGAGAGAAAAGACGTCATGATGAAATATTGTTGACTTTTGTAATAGTACACTGCAATCAAAACATTAATGATGATTTTCTGTACCATTTTTTACATATCAGAATTTTCATAATAACAATCATAAATACTGAACGATAAAGTTATTTTTGTGGAGGAAAATCAGATTTTATCGACCTTCTTTGTGGAAGGTGAATATATCCAAAGAAGGTTGATGAAAAAGACAATCATAAGTTTTCGATAAGAATGATTTCATTAAAAAACTGAAGTTATATGCTGAACTTCCCACAGAAATGAAATTTTCAATGAATCATCTTTATATGAGTGATGAAATCAGTACCGTACATTTACAATAATGAAAATTGTAATACCTCATCCCTATGAGTTTGAGATAATACAACTATATTGATATTTTTGACAGAAAATTGTAACGCATAGGAGGTCCGTCATGCCCAAAACAAAAATAATATAATTTAATTTAAATAGAAACTTAATGAAACATTTCCATATCGGTGGCTTCGAATGAATATAATGGCCTGCTCGTTCTCTGCATAGGGCGTGAATTCAAAGTTTCAATTGGTGTGGCGGAAGCGTACTATAAAACGAGGCAATATGAAAGTGACAATATATACATATAGGAAAAAAGTGACAATAATATTATGCAACCTCTCCCCTAATTTATAGGTATAGTTCTCCAGATTCAAAACCACTCATTATTTTGTGTGTACATTTTCAATTTACTTTTCGTTATTTTTCGTTATAGAATATGGAAATATCTGAATTACTATTTCTGGAATATAGGTCCTTGTGTAGTCATCATCTGAAGAGTCAACTCTATGTGTTTTGTTTGGAATAAATTCATATACCCAGTTCTACTGGATTGTTAACAGACCTTTTTTATCTAATTCAATCATCTGCTGAGTTGAGGAACTGTGTAAAAGAGATTCTCATGAAAAAATATTGATGGCATTGAACGACTTGACTGCTATATTATCATAATGATCTTCATTTTTTCCTCATTCATCAAAATCAAACATATTTTGAATGCGAAGTTTGAAAATTGAGGCCAGAATTTTTTTTATATTTTTCTTGAAACATCAATTATGAGAGTAACAAAATTAAAGTCACGCTAAATTGTGTGAAACAAAGGAAATTTCCACAAATATTGAAAACCATTTTGATGGAATAAATAGTAGATTTGAGTCATTTGTATGACCCCACATTTATGCTTCCTGAAAAAAAGTCAATATACTCGTAAAACTTGAATACCTGCTCCCATCTACAGCCTGTTTCTTAACTCAGTCGAGCTAATATAGCCGCTCAAAAATTCATACCTCCTAATTTTCAAATTTACTAGTTTCTAGGCACAGTACAAATATATCACCTATGAGTGTTTCATCATATGATATCAAATTAAAAGTATCTAGACGAAATTTAGATGAACAAATTAACCTCGATATAATTACTTTATGTTCGATTATTATTTAATTGACTTTTTTTTTCACCGTAGTGTGCGCTGGTCAGGCCCTATCCCCCGAAGCCCCGATACATTCGGGAGGGCGCGTCAGCATTATCAACCAATGACCACTCCCCACACCGTGCGTTAAGTGATCATTGGTTCCGAGAATCATATGCCCTGAGCAAGCGCAGTGAGCCAAGAATGACAGCCTTCTGCATCTGTGTGGCTAAGATTTCTGTCTCAGTGAGGCAATCCAGTATGATTTTAAGATTCGAGAGTAGAGAGGGCATCATTCCACCAAGGACTCAATAATCAGAACAAACATCTTGACAGAGTGGTCTGGATAGAGTTTGCGGAGTTCTAAGAGAAAATCCCGATATTTCATCCGTTTTTTCTCCTCTTTTCGGACGATATTCGTCTCGCCAGGAGCTGAAAACTCCATGACAAATATCGTCTTGCTCTGGTGGTCGAGAAGGACTACATCAGGCTCATTAGCTTGTATGAGCCTGAGGGTGGGGAACGAATCGTTCTAATAAATTCGGCACTTCTCGTTTCCCACAAAGGATTCAATATCCCCGGAGCGTAGGGCAACACCGGTGTCTCATCAATACCGTGAAAGTGCCGTGATAGATGAAGCACTCTTAGGGCCGCCTCACGTCGATGGATCGCATATGTTAAACATACTGACATCCAGTGCATTAGGTTCTCAGGCGCTTCGCGGTTGTCTCTACAGCTTGGGTCTGGAACCTCTATATCCATCACGGAACTGCGGTAGACTAAGGTATTGAAGACACCATCCTGGCAGGCCTTGATGAACCCCTCAGTTTCTGATGTCAGCACATTCAACCTGAGCAAAGCTCTTTGATAAGCCTATGTTTTTAAAGAAGACCTCATGCATTGGCTTATCCTTGTGTTGCCGCAGGAGTGAAGTGATATCTGCGGCTTTTATATGGACCTTTCGCTGGACGCGTTCCAACTGAACCGAGTTTATCAGCCACTCGGGCAGCTGCCCTGAAAAGAAATGATGAGCTCCTGCTTGTTTCGGGAGGAGTACAACCGTGAAACGGACTCTTTGGGATGGAAACTCCCATGGAGATTCATCATTTTTGGGGTATTTACGTCGAGTTGATACAGCTCCTTTCGCGACTACTTCATTACTCCAAACGAGTAGAGTAGAACTGGAATGGCAAATATATTTGTAGCAGCAACTCTGTTCTTCCACGATACTTCCCATAAACAAATCTGCGGTGTTTGTCCTGATACTCTTTCACCACCCTCAAGGACTGTTATGAATATTATTCATATTATCATTATAATCTAAACAGATGACGGCTTCTACCACACCTGTGAACTTCATTGAGTCGAAAATAACAGGTTTTTAATTTTTTTCCAACTAAAAACGTATTCAGAACCACACATTCATCAGTGTGGTATGAAGAGTCTTGACTTTTTGTCCATTTCATTTTTTTGTCTCCAAAAATCAACTTCTTAACAACTACCATTTTCACTTTGATGTAATGAATGAAAAAACTTCTCTCTAATTTCTACTAGATATTTTATTTTCACGACCGGTTTTGCGTTTTATCCCATTATCAAGTATAAAAGTAACTAATACATTTGACCCATGTCGTTTTGAAATCAAACAGGTTGGAGCCTGACTCCCTTACCCTTAGGACTGGCGCTTATTCAGAAGGACGAGCGGGTCATAACTGATCTGACTGATCATGGGTGGTGGCATGAATGTCCTCAGACATCAGTACCACCCATCACGGTGGACCCCTACCTGGCTGGGGTGTTTGGATGAAAAGATTGTTCATCTTTTAACGGGGGACATGAAGGCCTCATTCGACAGATTGTCTGGGCCTTCTATATCGGGAGCGATCGTCTACAGCATAATCTATAGCTTCCCTGACTAACATAATACATTTGAGATCTGGAAACGAGGTTTTACAGGGAGTTTGTACATGAGCTGGAATGAGAGGTAGTTAAATGGACAAGGGTGCCAACTATAAAATTCAATACTGGAAATTATAGAAATCACCGGGGTCGTCAAACTTATAAATTCAAGAGTGGAGACCTACATGAACCGAGTTGCTCATTTAAGGGTGAATATTTCGGGTTTTTAATTGATTTATTAATCTCCAAGGCTTCCAACAAATTCATTTTCTTCCTTTATTAGATGTGTAACAAACATGCAATAATACATTAAAGTGATCATGAATGTCCACAGAATAAACAAGTCCTCAATTACATAAACTACAATTTTGTTTCAATGACAAAGAAGCACATGTACAGTAAACGCTTTGGTTTCTATCTGATGTGACAGTACGGTACTGTTGATGAATATTATTATTTTTATTATAATAATTAAAGGAAAATCCTTAACTACTAATCCTAATGATGAAATTTATAATATATTTTCAGGCACGTATCAGTTTGGACAGAACAGGGGATTTACTACTAACGAAGATGGAAAAGTTAATGTACCCAAAAGTATTCTCACAAGCAGCGTCGGTGGCCTTCTAGGCCAGTATTTATCTAACCCATTTTATCTGGTGAAAACCAAACATGAAATTGACCAAGCCCAATCTGCTGACAATAGCAATAACAACAATGAAAAAAAGTCGTCGGGTTACATGGATACCATAAAGAGAATCTACAGAGAACATGGAGTGAGTATAATTAAATATTTGGAATTCTTGAAAGGGGTAAATCAATATAATCTGTATATTGAAGTTGATTAACTCAACTTTTTAAAAATTTTTTAAACGATAGAAAATAGCCTTTCTACTGAAGAACATTAGTCGTTCAACGGAAAAAGCAAGAAAAAAAAATGGGCAATTTTTGCGATCTATGATAATAATTATTGAATGTTCTCAATGTTCTCACTACACGGTAGCTTCGTCAGTCTTCAATTATAGATATTATGTCTCTCATCATTAACAAGGAAATACGCTCAACTTGTTTTCTATTTATTAGGTTTTGTTATCGGATATATTTCTCAAAAAGTTTCATTAAATTTCTCAAATATTGACTTTTTTGACAATCTAAAGCGATGTATTTTGAAAATCGCAACTAATTATCAAACCGAAAATATTCGGATATATTCTATAATTATTGTGAAAGAAATATGCTTTCATCATTGTAATAACATATATTGCCATACATAAAGAATTTGATATCGCTATTGATAAGAAACATGATTTGTGTAACTTATTAATAATCTACTTATTTTTTTTTATTTTCGTATCAATACATTGATCCCAGTAATATTATTTTTGAGGCAAGCAATATTTTTATTACGAAAAAATATGATAGATTGAAGAATGGTACTTCAATTTTCATTTTGGAACAGCATGTATGCGAAGAATAGCCTGAATCCAACTACATATATACTTTTCGATATACTTTTGTTAATCCTTTTTTCGACTTTTGAGAGCTGTCGTTCGTAAGAAGGTGAGAACTGATTAACAAAAAAATAGATTTTGATAGATTTTTCAAACAGATTTCATCACTAGGCATATTGTTATTTATCAGCCTTGTTTTGGCATCTATCATCAAGATTTATCTATATAAATTTTTTTTTCAGATAAGAGGATTCTTCAGAGGAGCTACAGCTTCTTTGCCAAGAGCCTTCATAGGAACCTCCCAGTTAACTTCCTTTGCAGTTGCCAAAGAAAGTTTAAACAAATTCGAAACGTTCCAACAACATCCATTGTTCACCACCGTGCTGGCTGGTACAGCTGCTGGGGTCGTCCTCAGTATGGCAATGACCCCCTTCGATATGGTCTTAACAAATATGTACAAACAAGGTAATGATAATGTTATTAATTAACGCCAGTTCAGTGATATTTGTGTTACTGAATATATGGACAGGATGGCTAGGATGTGGAATGATGCACGATCTGAGCATGACTGGTGTTTAATCGGTGACCCTCGAGACAGTCGGCACTTAGGCATTTTGTAGCGTACTCATTACAATATTGTCGTGATCTGTAGTCAACACATTTTATTTTCAAAATAAGGAGCTTGAACATCATTTTTGTAATATTGAAAAAATGTTAGGATCGGTAGAATTTAGTATCCAAGTTTCAAATGTAATTTTCAACCCTACATCCCTTCACCCTCAAGGAATGGGAATCCTAGCTTTAAATATTTGAAGGGCAAAATGCCGCTTGTGATGACTCGATTTTATACTGCATACAGATAAAAATAGTTTGTCAAAATCAGGAGATATTTATCAAATTTCAATGTCATTTCAATATCATCGTCATATTTCAACCAATTTGCAAAAAAGTAATTATACACACCAACCTTCATCTTGAGTCACTCAGTCCATTGGTTAAAATCCATGAAAATCCATTTTGATAGTATTTGAGTTGATCGCGTTCAAATAAACAGACAGACGCAGCGGAGAAATTTCATTTCATAAAATGTGGCATGCTTGAAAATGTTTAAGTTGCATATGAATCTCCAGTATAGTAGTCAAATATCTTAACGTAATAGTCAATCTTTTTCACACTCATCTAAGGACATCTCTAAGGACTGTATTTCGTTCGTGTTTGCTGGCAGTAACTCTAATAAATTTCATTTTCATTCGTAGGTAATTCTTGAAATCTATGAGTTCTCTGATACGTAGTTTGTTAAAAAAAATCGCATTTGAATGAATATATCTTTGGGGTATGTAACCATTTTTCGCACCAGTTTTCGTTCACTTTATTCTTCTGAAAAATGTTAAATCTGTCAGATCAGCTGCATTATACATAAATTGGAAAACAAATAAAGTTATTGATCACAATATTGATCATCTCGATCTTGGATTGGAGATCTTATAACTAACAGTAGTTGGTTATGGATATATCCAAAATTCACAGCCTTTTTTTACCAGTAACTTCTTAAGAACGCCTTGCTCATAGTTTGCAGCTAAGATCGTAAGTTACTGCTGAAAGATTTTTTTGTTCGATTCTGCCTTCGTGTCTGTCTTCGTGTGGTGATTGATGTAACCTTGGGGAGGTATTAATTCTTGCTTCCATTCTACTACTCCTAACAACGCAACTCTTGTCATTTCATAGATTTGCAGTTGACTCCATGATACGAGACAAACGGCCTTGTGAAGATTTTGGAATTATAAATCAAAGAAAAAAAGTCTGATTTGATTTTTACCTGAATCATACTGTCCAAGCCGAAAGTCACAAACAGCAATAACGACAAAGCAAAAACAACGAGAGTTTTTTTTCCGTGAAAGAAGTTATTTCATTTCACAATAGCTTCTAATGATGTATTAAGCTTCGACCATTTTGGTATACTGTTCATATTAGTATGGTTTGAGGTTTCCACACATATACTGGGATTTATTTTCACTATCCCAACATCAGATGACTAATATTAGTGCAAGACAATGTCTTGGAATGGACAATGAAGGTAATTTTTCATGCAAAACCATAGCATCAAAAATGACCAATATTATCACATCCTGAGAACAATATTATTTATTATTAGCAGTCCTCTGATGTTGGAGTATTGAAATTTGAGCGAACATTTTCATTGAGAAAAATCAGGAATGATTTCCTGAAATCTGTAATATATTCTCAACTTGACTCAACTTAATATCAAAATGGATTTGCTACAATGACTGGGTCTACCGGCTCTACATTTGATTATTTATAATGTTAGTTTTAAATACGAAGTGAATGAAAAATATTTTTAATGTGTCGATTTTATTTTCCGGGTTTGTTAGCCCTGAACTGCAGGTTTTTATACCTGACGTTTTTTTTATGATAACATGTTAACAATCTATTATTTATCTTCTCTTTGCAATTTTTAGCAATTGGCGCTAAACCAAATGGACCAATGTACAGGGGCTATTTTGACTGCATGAAGGGTATTTATATGAAAAATGGCCTAAGACCTTTCTATAAAGGAATGGGACCTCTTTATCTGAAGCTTGGTCCACACACAATGTTGTGCTTGTTATTTTGGGAACAATTCAAAGGGATTTATGAAAATTACAGTGTCGAGGTAGAGAACAAACCACGTAGACCTGTGCCTATGAATATTTTTTACGAAAAAGTTGGATTTCTAAGTATGGAGACTAGAAGTGATAGTAACTACTTCAATGAAACTATGGACGAAGATCATAAGTTAAATGTTTATTGGAATTAGAGAGAACATTTTTTTATTATTGAATAGTTTTTTAAAACAGTTAAGTTATTATATTCTTACTTGTAGTTAATGTTGTTGATTTATTTAAAGCGCAGGTTGTATAATATTAAAAAAATTGTTGATTCTGAATATTTGAATACTTTGCAAGTTCGAATATCGTCTAATGAGTTGCTTTTTTTTATATATTTGTGAAAACATTGCATTTGAATTACTAGAGACACATCTATATATTCAATTCAAGTAGAACCTACATCTTGATTTCCAGCCCTAGTTTCCAAATGCAAAAATTTTATGCATTCATATGGTAACTATTTATATACTGTAATAATATGACTCTAATCTGATATTTTATTCAAATTTTCTTTGCTGATTAAAGTTCCTAGAAATTAGTCGTCTAATGTTATACTTTTGTATATGTGTTATGTTAATAAAATATATTAATGAATCATTTGGCTATTTATTACTTCTGATTTTCATTTTAAAATAGCTCCTCGGTTGACTTATGTCACAGGAAAGCTTAGAAATAAAAAAGAAAAATTATTTATTTTTTGCATATTCCGACGTTAAAACTTCAAAATTCGAATTTTAGTCTTTGACTTTGATTTTAATTTGTGCGGAGGTGCCTCTTCCTGATAAAACATCAATTCGTTTTCTACAAGGTTATCTCTTTCTAGTATTTATTCTCTTTCTAGTATTTCTAGTATTTATTCTGGAGCTAATTTCATCGTTCAGAAGTAAAAATTTTCACCATTCAGTTCACCATCGATAAAGAGAACCAACAATATTATCTCATAAGATACTAACCCACATATTGACTTATTAAAATAAAATAAAATAATTAGTGCCGCTCTAGTATCGGCAGTTGTAAGTGTAATAAATTAAAATAGATCCTATTTGTATGTGTGTGCCACCA